AGAAAGTAATGGTTGATTCTGTGAGCCGTCAACTGCCATTGTCTCAATAATAGCATGTCAGAAAGCATTTCAATTTCATATATAATTATTCCGGCCATAGCACATTTTTGCATGTGATTTGCCAAAGGTAACAGACCTAGTGTTTGCATATAATTGATGTAACTTTACCGAATCTTCAATTGTTATGTTTACTGAGTTTTTCAATGATTCTACACACTACACTCAATATTTATTTTCAAATGCTGCTGGTATAATTAACGGTTATCCTAATGATTTTTTAGCCAAAAATTTTTGTAAGGGGTAATATAAGGTCCATTGTACTGCTTCAATGTGGTTTCCTGTTGTCCATTTTGTCAAATGCATGGTGTATGCCTATCTTCATTAGCCCACTTGGTGCAGAAAAGTAGAATATGAAACACAATTTCATTTTATCTTCTTATAATGCTCATGGTTCATACTATTTTCCAATTATTACCGCCAAAATAGATCAAAAAAATTTATATAAAAACTTTCTTCCACCATCTGGATATTTTATCAGCGAAAAACATATGATAACAAAAAATATATAATTGTGATAACAATTGTATTCCTCAGGTAGAACAATTATATAAAATGTTATATAACAATTTATACTACAGAGTCAGAAATCATTAGCATGCATTTAAAACAACCCTTGACAGTGGCAATTCAACAAAGAGTAGGGTCAAATTTCCCTCATAACACACCGCAGGGTGCAAGTCTCCCTTCTTTAGCCAAGTTGGTGTACCTACACAGCACACCGCAAGTTCATTAGCCTAGTTGGTGTACCTTCATAGCACACTGCAAGGTGCAAGCCTGTCTTCATTAGACTAGTTGGTACAGAAAAGTAGGACGTACTGCAGAGTTTGAAATCAATATTGAATTATGTCGAGCTGAATAAATGTGACGACATCCCTTTCAGATTTATGACTATGGTAAAAAATTATCAATACAATAATACACGGAAGTTTCTGTTCCTTCAGGCTGTTCAAAAAGACTATTGTGTAATCAGATATAATAGGCTGCTATTACTGCCGATCAGTAATACTATACATTCACCTGTATACAGGTGTAAAAATACACCTGAATAAATATATTCCAACAAAATCACCATAATTACTTTATTAATGCTTTCATATACTTTTTATGATTTGTTGCGTTGTTCGCAGTCTTGTTTTCAAGAACGTTTGTACTGGATAGACCAACATTAAAGGCTTTGTAGAGAGCAGAATGCTTTCAGGTATTAGAAATCGATCTTTGATTAAAAGTAGGTCAATCACGTAAATATGGGTTGATTGTTATGGTAGATTGTACAATTATGATTTTATTGGTAAGCGAGCATCTGAGTTACATTATATAATCAAAATCAAAACTTTGAACTTTGTAAATATTAAACCATCTTTGACTGATATGTCTTTTAGAGATTCAATGTTGTAGGGTGCAATTTCCGGATTAAGAAAAAAAACACAAGGGTTCAGGTTCTCGCATAAATCGGTTTATTAATAATAACCACAATAAAAACCCTGAAATACATAAATACGTACTATAAATAAAACATAACATTTACACCAATTCATTAAAACATTACAATCACAAATATCACAGATAAACAACTATACATAATATTATACGACTCCATAGATCTAATTTATAATATAATAATGAATGATTTGAAATAATACTTAAAATATATATATATTAATTACTAACTTATAATATATATATATTATATAACTTAATTACTAATATAATTGACTGGCTAGGTGCTTACCCTATAAAGGGGTTTTCCAACCACTTGGAAGCCAAAAGATGGTGGCAAGCACTTCCAATAAACCTGTAAAGTTATACACATCTATAAATATGTGAATGGTAAATAATATTGAAGTGAAAGACTTCAATGGTAATATAGGATAACGTACTAACCCAGGATACTTTGTAACTTCAAGATATTTAATTTAAATGAAACATTTAAATATTACTTTTACTAAAATTCAAGATGGCTGCCAATCTATAAACTACTATTACTATTACTGGTTAAAATATATTGGTACCTAATTTAAAACAATTATTAACTTAAACATTACACATACCTGCTGTTGAATCTGTAATTCCTATTTAATTCATCTGTAACCTTATTAAACACTATACTATATCAAACTAAAGCTAATTATAGAAATTGGAATATTGATGAAATACCAAAATCCCGCCAAAACTAACTAACTAGTAGATACCTGGAGAAAATCAGAAGGTGATCTTTCTCCAACAAAATCTAAAGTAAGAATGTCAAAATAGTCAGGTGACCAATGAATGTTCAGATAAGAGAGAACATGCACAATATTGTAAAAGACTTTAATAAAGTGTTGTACCACAAGACCTTGTGGGTTTTCTCCAGGTCCTCCGGTTTCCTCCAACTGCTAAAGACCCCTACGCGCAAGCGAATTATGGAAATGAAATTGAACTATATATTAGTCCCGAAATCGCCTAGTTTGTGTCGAGTGGACTTTAAAAATGGGAAAGTGAGGCTAAGTCTCGAATATACCAGTGCCCTGGTTATCACAATACATACATCATGTCAAAACTACAAACAATGATAACTTGGCTCAGAATGAAGTAATTTGAATGAAAATTTCAATATTTTCATTTTATATTATATATTTTTGAGCTATTATAGCAAGAATGGTTGGCTCTTTATCTAAGTATGTATCTTTAAAATAATATTATCTAAGACAAAAAATATATTTGCTGATTAATTTTCAAGGGATAGAGCACATGTCCCTTTGTCGATGAGTTTGTTATGGTCCATAGTCCAAACAAGTGTTCCCCGGTTGTACGTGACAAGGAGTAGGGTCGCCTGTCCAACCTCGTGGGTTTTCTCCGGGTCCTCTGGTTTCCTCACACTGAAAAAGACCCCTATGCGCAAGCGAATTATTGAAATAAAATTAAAACCATATGTTAGTCCCGAAATGACCTAGTTTGTGTTGAGTGGACGTTAAACCCCATTTCTCTCTCTCTCTCCAAACAAGTGTTCGCTTTGCTCTCCACGGCATTAAACCCTAATGCGCTTGCACGTCTTCGGTCAACTTTTCTGATTGTCACTAGGAGAATTAAAGGGAAATCTATTTATACTAAAAATAAATTTCCAGTTACCAAATCATGATTTCAATACCATGAAAATTATTCTAAAGAAAGGGTTCCATGTCTTAAAGTTTTACAACATCTTACAGAATCAATAAAATTTCTTAAACCTTTTCAAATTTAATGAAGGATAAGCTACAGTATAAAAGATAAATCTTTAACATTTTAAAATTTAATGAAGCTAAGGAATTATTTCACAAACTGAGATGGATTTTATCGTTGTATTGACATTTGGTGAATTCTTTTTAATGGCTTGGAGATCTATATAGTTACGGAAATCCAATGTAGAACATTTCAGAAACGTTTCTTTAATTATTGCGAATGCCAAGAAAATGTAAGAGCAGAAATAAGTGTTCAAACCTTTTAAAAGCTATTAAGAATTCTTACTGAAGCGCAATATGCTGGCAATTCTGGCCGTGCAGTGAATAAGTTTTGGCGCTTGAAACATGGTCAATTGACTTTTTGGCATGAATCTGCAGTTCCCTGTAAGTGGAAAATGGAATTGATTCCTGGATGTGACAATATTTTCTGAGAATACTGGGGTTTGTCATGCAGCTCTGTCATTATTTTTAGATTATGGAGAAGTAATGGACTTAAAGTAGTGGTTTTACTCTGTTTAAAGTCAGTCAATGTGTAATTGATGAGGTTTACCCTAAACTTTTCAATATCAGTCATTATATAGGATTGAGTCAGTGAGTACGTTTGAAGAATTAAGTAGAAGACATGGTGACAGTTATTAACCTTGTGGTTGAACCATTTAGATTGATTATAGATAATGTTATACTTATATTCAAGCAAGCATGTTATTATTATTGATAAAACATAATTATACATGTAAGCTGCCATTAATCAAACATCTCTATTCTCTTTTATAAAAACTTACTCTTCCGGAAATGTGTGGAATAGAATAAAGTTTAGCCTCTTATCATTATGAAAGTAACACTTTGTTTAGTTTCTATGGTTGCAGTGCATACTTACCTTTGAATGCCAACTGTCATGGGATCTTCAGCTTCCATTAAAAATGTTCTTCATATAAGGACCACAATCATGCCTGTTATCAGAACAATTATACCTCTTGATTTCTCAAAAAATGAAAATTTTATATAAAAAAAAAGTGATTTTGTTTACAGATTTTATTGTATGCACTTTTCATATATTATTGTAAAGAGTTGGATGTCATTTGCTGTCCTTCGGTCTCTGTCCTGAATAGTTTACGACACCATCCTTCTGTTTTTCTATCCCAAATAGGTTACAGTGCTGTTCTTCTATCTTTCTGTCTCGAATAGTTTACGGCACCATCCCTCCGTCTCTCTGTCCAGAATAGATTACGATGCCATTCTTCTGCCTCACTGTCCTGAATATTTTATGGCACCATTCTTCCATCTCTGTCCTGAATAGTTTACTGTTCCATCCTTCTGTCTGTCTGTCTCGAATAGTTTATGGCACCATCCTTTCTTCTCTCTGTCCAGAATAGATTACAGTGCCATTCTTCTGCCTCTCTGTCCCGAATATTTTATTGAGCCATCCTTCTGTCTCATTGTGCGAAATATAGCTGCCAACCTTCTGTCAAACTGTTCTGAATAGTTTACAGCTGCCATCCTTCCGTCTCTCTGTCCCAAATATAGTTTCGGAACATAGCTCATTAATCGTTAAAAATATGTATGTTTATCATGCTTTTGTATTACTTTGCCAATTAGAAGTTCTCAGATTTAATAATTATTGTGTTGCCATAGAAACAAATGTGTTTTCGTTACGATTGTAATATCTATAATGCTAAAATAACTATGGTTATACAATCAAATTGTAAAGTGTACCTCATACTTTATTATATATTTGTATTATTTCAGGTCAAGAAATGAATCATGGGGATGTTTTATCACAAATGGAGTTATTGCTCTGTGAGAGACCTGTTCGGAATCCTGATTATTTTAGCGTTCATATCTACCATGATCAGTGTTCATATGAGCCAATATCTTCCGTGGCTGCATAACAACCCAGATGTAAGCTTCAATGTGAACGCACGATTAAATATTTATCGTAATCTAAAACACAGGGATTATCATGAGGATTTACTAAAGAAATTAAGTGCCAGTTCCGTTGGATTAACAAAAGGATTATTGGACATCGTTAACCGTTTGGCTCAGGTAATTTACAAATATTATTTATTATATCAGAAGAAGAAATGATTTTCCAATTCTATTTGCTCAGCCGGTGTATTTAAATTCCTGCTTTCTTAGTGTGCCATTTTTGTTGTATCGTAACATCATAATATATACAAATGAAAATGGGGTTTATAAACGTCTTTTGTTTGCACCAGTAGGGCTAATGAAAACGGACCTATGCAATTCAGTGTGCTTTGAGGGAGGGAAAATTTGCATGGATAGCAGTGGTATGACCTACTCTTATTTCGATTTCATGTCAGATGATCTTTAACACGCGGCCCATGGTATATACAGGACCTCAGTTTTTTTTGTCCCATCTGAACAACTAGGCATTTTTGAATGCCAGGCCTGCCTTCCTTCCCCATTGACAACTTGGGCAAAACAGGCTGGAACATCCCTAGGAACTTTCTTAGTCAACACTATGTATCTTGTCCCATCTGAAAAACTAGACACTTTTTAACGCCAGGTCCTCAGCCCTGCAAGGACAAAATGGGCAGGAAAATCCCTGAGAACGTTCTCAGCCAATACGTGGAATCAAACCCAGGAACTCCTGGTTAGCTATATGCAGATCCATACTCACCAGAGCCACAGATGGTGGGCAGTACTTTTTCTGTGATTATATTTTAACCCCTATAATAGAACCTTTATAATAAAAAGTAATTGATATTATAACTTCAGGTCACATAACACAATATAGGGTTAAACATATAGTGAAGTAACAATGTGAGAATTTGACATAAAGCAACAAATATTAGTAACACTTGGGTTCATGTCTATAGACCACACAATACCACAGATAGATCATCTTTCTTTAACATCTTATCAAAATAACTCTTCTTTACAATGATACATTTTTTTCTCGACGAATCTTGACATAGTATTTTATACAGCCATTGAGAAACCTAGTGTATGTGTGTGTGTGGTAAGACTGGAGAACTGAATAAAATAATTTTTGTTTAACAGAAATTATATGAAATGAAATGGGGTTTAACTTCTGTTTTTCTGCCACATTCAGACTAATGAGGAGGGTCATTCATTCATACACTATGCAGTGTGCCATGAAGGAAATTTTGCCCGGACAGCTGGGCTACAGCCTACGTGTGCTACGCCTACTCTTAGTTTGAATTCCAACTGTCAAGGGTTCTTTAACGTGAACGCCAATGTGTACACAGGATTTTTGGGGTTTTTTTTTTCATCCCATCCAAACAACTAAATGCTCTTCCTTGCCAGGCCCTCATTCCTACACTACTGACAAGGGGAACTACACCATAAAATCCTCAGGAAATGTCTCTGTCAACACCAGGCTCAAACTTGGGATCTCCTGTTTAGTGAGACACAGAAGCATCCTTGTTAAAACAGAGGTTCATGAAGTTTTGATAGACCCTTGAGCTACCATTAACCAGTATTTACTGTTTGTGATGTTGGGTTTAAACCCTGATGGTTACTTCATAGGTTGTTACTCTTGATCACCTTTTTGTATCCTTTGAATGCTCCTATTAGCTCCTCGTGGGTTTTCACTGGGTCCTCCGGTTTCCTCCCACTGCTAAAGACCCCTACGCGCAAGCGAATGATTGAAATAAAATTGAACCATGTGTTAATCTCAAAATGACCTAGTTTGTGTCGAGTGGACGTTAAACCCCATTTCTCTCTCTCTCCTATTAGCTGCAAAAGATTAAATATGTGACAACCTTTATGGACTGCTTGGACAACTAACTGCTGTGGGCATATGTTTCACTGCCTGGCAACCTATCTTTCACAGGATTACTGAAGTCATCGATGGACATCTGGTTAGAATAGATTGTCTGTCTGCCCCTTTTTTTATCATTGCCAGTTCTTAATGTCCTACACATGCTTACGATGTAATAGAGAGAGTATGAGATGGTAACCACCTTGTCTCGTAGACAAATACCAAATGATTTTTTACATTTATCTACATACTTAACATATTAACAAATGTCAATTGTTTAGTCATAGAAGTAGATAACATGTATAGCTAATTTAGACAATTACCTAAATCCACTATATGTTATAGTATAACCTTGAATAACCAGGATAATGAACGAAGGTCAATGCCAAATATTTATTGCTTTCCGTTAATAAACAATCTGTGACATCATTATAGAATTATGAGCAGAAGGACTAAAATGACATAACGGATTGTTTATTGACGGATAGTTTCAACTAATCACCGAGAACGGCGGAAATTACTTGCGTTGAAATTTACCTGTTGCAGGTAATATTGACATTCGGGTCCGTGTTATGGAAAGGATATGTTAACATAATTACTTGTATTATTTTTTGAAAATTTGAATCTTTTCCGGTGAACTTTAAAATCTGCATCTTGGCTATTTTAATAATTAATAATAAACTAGAGATATTGTTGATATTTGACTATCCTTTATCTGGAAGATGTTCCTGGCATGTATGATTAAATAAACGATTTTCTTAAAACAGAAATGGATTAAAGTTTTAACGTCCTACTGTTCTACACCAACCAGGCTGGTGAAGTCAGGCATATGCCATGCAGTTTGCTATGAGGGAAAATTGTTCTTTTATGTGCACACCAATGTATACATGGGACCTTGAATTTTCATCCCATCCAAACAACTAGACACTGTTCACGGCGGAAAATCCTTAAGAACTTTCTCTGCTGACACCGAGATGGATCTCTAGACCTCCTGGTTAACGAACCAGTGGCTTACTCACCAATCTGGTTAAAACACAGATCCTATTTTGTTTCGTTTTTATAGTTCAAAATTTCGTTTTACTTGTCTTTACTACACTTGGATCTGGAAGAGTTGTTATTTAACTCGTGTTCTGAATGGTGTCAGGGATAAGCCAATGAAACGGTCTGTTACGGCGAGCTTTAAGCGTGTTTTGCACGGAACTGTGGGTAATCCACTAGTAACATCAATGCTGATTGGTTAATCAAATGTCTGACGTCATAGGGTCATAAGTCGGTCTTTTGACCCCTGACGTGACCTATGGCTATAACTTGTCAGATCTTCATGTAGTGTAGGCCATTGAAAGTATAAAAAAAACGAAACGAAATATAGATCTGTATTTTAATCAGATTGCTTACTCAATGACCCACCGTGGCTCTTATTTTCAAAAAGTTATTAATAATTTAAAGTATTTTCTGGCTGAAAATAATTCTGTTTAAGCTATATACTGGAAGTGTTGAGTAAAAGCATGATGATAAAAATCAAATTGTATATACACGGAAAGTTGCATGTGTTCAGTTGTCAAGCAGCGTTTATAAGAAATTGACGTGTTATCGAATAAAATATGGTAAATAGTAAATACATGTGCCAAAAAATATATTATTTAATACATTTATGGGGTGATATAATGATATAAACTGTCAGAACCAATTTATAATGTCATTTCTCAATGATTTAGAGTAAGTTTTTCCATTAACTAAATAACTTAAATGGAAATTTTTAAATTGGCAAACAGCAGGGATTGACAAAATAGATGGTATATTAAATGCCATTTTAGACTTAAGTGAATATTGTGGACAAATCCAGGCTATTCTAAACAGGCAAACGAAATGAACAAATAAATATGGCACACACTAGTATCGAATAACTAACCAGTGCACATCAGATAATAACTAGTGCATGCCAACATATTATCCATGCCAACATACCATCCAATGAGTAGTGTGCACCAAATAATAACTAATTGACACTATCTAATATCTAGTGTGTACCATCTAATATCTAGTATGTACCATCTAATATCTAGTGTGCACCATCTAATTATCTAGTGTGTACCATCTAATAACTACATGTAGTGTGTACCATCTAATATCTAGTGTGTACCATCTAATATTTAGTGTGTACCATGTACCATGTAATAACTAGTGTTGCTTATCTAATATCTAGTGTGTAGCATCTAATACTTGTGTGCACCATCTAATACCTAGTCTGCACCAAATAATAAGTAGACCCACAAGGTACATGCTAAATAGCTTTAAGCAGTGATCGGCGCTGTGCAAGGGACAGGATATTCTTATAATTTCTAGAGCATCTGATACCACTTCTCACTTTAGGAGTTGATGAAGCTTAATGCTCAGCCCAGATAGATACAGCAATGCTTGATTATCAGTAAAGGTGATGCCAGATCTGACATTTAAAGGGGTTTTATTTCTGTGTCTTTCTTACCGGATCCGTACTCATGATTCTAAGGTGAACAAACTTAAAATAAAAAGACTTAGCCAGCTTTTTTTTTATTCGAAAATCAAAAAATCAATCCAGAATTCGAAATAAATGTTTCAATTTTATTTCCCCAGGGATGGTCCAGTTTCTAAGGATTATAGTTCAATAAAATCGTTGACATTTGTTAGAAAGTTTGTTTAACAGTAATTGGCACACTTCTCTAATAGCCTCTTCACTCACCCATTGTCCATCTTAAATGATGTATTTAATATTGACCCTTGTGATGACCAATCTGTATTGTTGTACTGTTATTATTGACCACATGAATGTAATATAACACCATCGAAAATGGTGTCTTAAATGATGTGATGGTTGGAGAATAGTTCATAATAATTACTGGCACACTTCTTGTGAAATCAGATTTAATACATTGTTAGAATTAAATCCTGGATTTCTCTATTGTTAATGTCCTGTTTAATTGTGATGGCTGTGTCCAGAGGGAAATTGTTAGGGAATATAATTTTAAAATTGATGAGGTTTAGGTGGTTCAGTGGTCTAACTAACACATCATAAGGACTGTCATTAAGCCAAGTTGTGTGGTTTTCTTCCCAAGCTTGCATGTGACAAGGAGTAGAGTCATCTGGTCAACCTCGTGAGTTTTCTCTGGGTCATCTGGTGATCCTCCCACATCTAAAGATCCCTAAGCACAAGCACATAATTGAAATAATCAAGTTTGTGTCAAGGGGATATAAACCTCTCTCTCTCTTTCAAAAAGGTGGATTCAAACGAAAATTGTTTTTATGCGGACGTATTCTAGTG